GGGAGACAAATGATTAGAAATGCTACATGGCCAACGGAAAAGGGCGGACACCAGCAGTAACGGACCTGGGAAACAAATGAATAGAAATGCTTCATGGCCAACGGACAAGGGCGGACACCACCAGTGACAGACCTGAAAGACAAATGAATAAGAAATGCTACATGGCACCAGCAGTGACGGACCTGGGAGACAAATGAATAGAAATGCTTCGTGGCTACATGGCATGGCCAACGGAAAAGGGCGGACACCAGCAGTGACAGACCTGGGAGACAAGTGAATAGGAATAGGAAAAGGAAGGACACCACCAGTGACACCACCAGTGACAAGCCTGGGACACAAATTACACCACCGTAGGCCCCAAACAGGTGGGACAACAACGAAGCATTCCCAAGTCCACCTTTTGGGACATCAACAAGAAAGGGAAGCAAGAAGGGAGACAAAAGGAAGAAGGAAACAGAAGGATTACAGAATTGAGACAAGGCGGACACAATGACCAACAACAAAGGAGACAAGAAGGCCAGCAAGAAGCGAGACAAGACCGGAGACAAAGTGAGACAGAAGGGAGAGAAGGCGGACACAATGACAAACAAGAAGGGAGACAAGAAGAGAGCAGTGACACAAACGGCGGACACATCTTAAGAAAGAATTGAGAACCCCTAACAGTAAACTGTTTGGGGAAAAAGTTTGAGACAAATGCAAGTGGGAGACAAGCCGCCGGAAACCGACTACAAGAAGGAAGTGGGAGACAAGCCGGCCGGGAACCCGACCACAAGCACCCAGCCTGACACCACCAGTGACAGACCTGGGAGACAAATGAATAGAATTGTTGAAAGGAAGTGGGAGACAAGCCGGCCGGGAACCCGACCAGACCATCCAGCACCAAGGCAACCATTCTTTAAAGCATTGAGAACCCCTAACCGTAAACTGTTTGGGGAAAAACACAAAGGACACAAAAATCAACCAGCGACGATACAATGATTCTATTTGAGGAGGGGGGTAGGCCTGAAGAACGGGGTAGGTAGGTAGCCAGTAGTAGTGAAGCTCAGTAGTGACCGAAACCTTCTAGCCGGAAGCAAAAGAACTAGAAACATTAAAGGAAATGTTTCCGTCTACATGTTTAGGGAAATTACTGCAAGCTCCTGCGGTTGTTTACGAAACATGATTGCGTTCGATGAGGGAACCATGCCAATACACTGCTCATACCCTCGTACCTTGAAAATACTGTTCCGTATTGTTTGGGCCAAAGGTCCCAAAACCTTGAAGAACTTGGAACTTCGATCTATATACACTCACCTCGACAACTGGAATTCCATCATTGCGCCCAGCTTCATTCAGAGTTTTCCCCAGTTGAGTTCAGCAGAAATCAGGCTGTCAGTCTCAACTGCAATAGTGTCAGCAAGAGCTTTGGAACCAATACACCTTTTCGACATCAATACGACATCAATACATGCCTCACATTGGTGAAACTAGTTGCGGGGGTACTGGGTACTAGGATTGGGACTGTGGCAATCAAACGTAGCCTTGAAAGACGGATGAGCGAGAAAAGGAAGCCTAACAACGCAAGATCTCAGTCATACCAACTGAAGAGAGCAAAACAAGCAGACTGTCTAACCTGGGGCTGATGATGACGACGATGACAACGATGATGATGATGATGATGATGAAAAGCAGTGTGCCAAGTGCAGCACAGTTTGCCGCATGTGTCATGACTATCGAGAATATCAAGTTGTGATTAGCTTAGGATCTCGGGACTCTTTCTCCGAGCAAACATTGTCATAACAGTTTGTGATCATTCATCAATCCACAAAAAGTTCTCGGAAACGTCGAATGTAAAGCTATGAACTGTACATATATATATATATGTTATATACCGTACAAACATATATATATATGGAAGTTTAGAGGAACTTCCGTGTTACGAACATTTACATTAGCTGTAATTCTAGTTAATTGTTCTACCACTGATCTCTAGCTCTAGTTCATTGTTCTACCATTGATCTCTTGCTCTAGTTAATTGTTCTACCATTGATCTGTAGCTCTAGTTCATGGTTCTACCACTGATCTGTAGCTCCAGTTCATTGTTCTACCATTGTCTGCAAGTTGCATGGAAGTGTCGCGGAAATGCTTCGGTTCATACAGTTGCAAGTTGCATTTTGGAAGGAAGTCGCGCGGCATTGCTTCGTTTCACACATGCGCAATTTGCATTTTTCGTGGCATGCGCAGCACTTTGTGAGCCTCAAAGTGCAGATTTCGTGGCGGCAGGCACAGCACTTTGTGAACCTCCATGCGCAGATGTCGTGGCGCACAGCACTTTGTGAACCTCGATGCGCCGATGTCGTGGCAGGCACAGCACGTCACACATCTGCAACTTGCATTTTTGAAGGAAGTCTCGTACGAAATGCGTTATTGAAAGATAGCGGATGCACGAAATGCTGAGTTTTTGCGTGCGAAATGCTTCTCCGAACCTTGACGGGGAAGCTCCGCAGAACGACGGTTTCAGGGGCGGTTCGGATACAACAACCTGAGCCTCTGAGGTCGTCGAACATCATCCATCCTGCCCCGAGGCCAAGGGCCTGTAAGTGACCTGCCTCGTCAATTCCATGGTGGGCAACTGCAGCAACAAAAATGAAGGCTGATGTACACATCCCAAGTTGACTTCTGGATGAATTGGGAGCCAAACACGGTGGTTCACCTCCAGCTCCCTGAGTGATCCAGGAATGCGCAGGCATGCCAGGCGGCTGCAAGCTGAGAAAGTGGTTTGCATACCAAGGTAGTCACGCCGGTTCGATCTTTTCCGTGTGATCCGGTGCGCTCACAGGTGGTGGGTTGTGAGGATCCCCTTGATCCTTGATCAGGATCAAATCCCCTTCCTGCGCAACTTGCTTCCAGGAGCCGTTGACACACGAGGGCTTGGTCCATTTAAGGAACTGGCCCAAGAATTCATGAAGGTCTTGCTGCCCCATTCCACAAAAACGCAAAAAAAAGCACTGAAGGGAGGGGAACACAACACCCTTCAGAGAAACCCACATGGACTCAAGTCCACTACTTCATAATTGGAGTCCTGATCGGAGGCCTTCAGAGACTTGAATCTGACCACCCCTCCATGCTGGTGATCGAGATTGGTGATTTGTTCATCACCTGAACTTGTCGGTCTTTTTGATTCCAGCTCAGGTAGTTCCAGCAGCCACTCTCTGTAATGAGCTGATGTCGAAGGGCTTCCTGCCAGATCTCCATGCTTGGCTGGGACTGGGCCACTTTCAGCATTCTGTCCAGCAGCGTTTGAGTGATCATAGTGATTGCAGAAGAGTAGCCGTCTTCTGCTCTACTTCCTGCTTCCATGAGACCGTGGCTGGTTGATCAGCGGGATGATGCCTGATGCTCCCGGTTGAAGGAACAGGATGAAGGTGTCCTGAACCGCGATGGCTTGGAGCTGACTTTCGTGACGCAAGGCCAAAGTGGCTAGAAGTTGGACCATCCCTGGAAGTTGGTCTGGGGTATCTCTTGACGCCGCGTCGTTCTCGTGCTTGGGTCTCTTCAGAGATTGAGGTCGGGAGCCGTCCAGCAGACTCCCAAAGGTGTCTGCTCGAGACTCAGTGAACAATGCAGCTTGTGCCATGATCCTTGCAAGCCATTGGCAATGGTTCCTCATTTGCGTGACCACCATGGTGATCTTATGCCCGCTGCACTGGATCTCATGCCTCGGCGTCACAGCCCCGCACCGTTTTGCTGTACGTACTGTTGGAACACCAACGAACCGGTGGATCCTTGTCCACTGACGCTGAACCTTGCAGGAAGGCTGTTAGATCTCGGCCGATGGGCCAACTGACACCAAGCTTTGTCATTCCAGTAGAATCAGTAGACAGTCGGGTCATTGGATGGCTCCGCAACCTGCTCCTCTAAATCATTCTGGGTAACAGCAAGGCGCAATAGCGCCAATTGAGTGAAGATCACGAATCTGTGCCATTCTTCCTGGAGTGATTGCCACATAGACACGGTTTGCCACAAGCAACTGCTGTGTTGTGATATCTGGTTTCCAGAGACTGCGCCTGTTCACGCATTGCAGCATGATCTTGTGCAAGATGCTGGGCAATACATCCTGGCTTCCGCGATTGCCTACCGCAAGGGACACAGCAGGATTTGAGAGCAGCTTGATATACTGGTTCCCGAAGAATTCGATTCCGCAGGGAGAAGAAGGAGGCCAGTGTCTTCATGCAGTGACTGCAAGTTGGAGCGCCGTCAACTGAGTCTCTGGCAGGCTGAAAGTCTTGCGCTTTGGCTGCCGGAGCCCCTCTTTGCCTCTTCAGGTGGA